CCCGCCTGGTTCCCCGGGCTGGTGTCCAGCCCGGGCTCAGGCGGGCCCCCACCTCGGGATTGCAGGCCTGAGCCACCGCGCCCAGCCTCTTGGGGCGGTTTTGAGGCCGGGTCTCACAGAGCCGCTGCAGTGGAGTTGCGTGGGGAGGGAGAGGTAAGGCGGTGCCCGAAGGAGTGAGACCTCCAGCAGCCGGAGACGTGTGAGCCTCTTCTTGTGTTTCTGTGCCTTAAAGGTCGCAGGAGGCAGTGCTGAAGAATGTGTGGGCGAACGTCGTGCCATCTGCCTAGAGATGCTCTCACGAGAGCTTGTGCCTATCAGGACCGATGGGGCCAGCAGCGGCTCCCAGAGTGGAGAGACCCGGATAAGTATTGCCCCTCCTACAACAAGAGTCCTCAGTCCACCTGCCCGGTGCTTCTCTCACGACTGCACTTTGAGAAGGTAACCACTCGTGCACCACACTAGCCTCTCCCGCAGCACCACGGTGGTCGTCTGCTCCTGTTTGGCTTGGGTATGCTCCGCCTCTGGGATGACATTAAAAATCACACCTTAAGCTGGGCCTGGTGGCTCAGCCTGTAATCCCAGCGCTTTGGGAGCCCAAGGTGAGGGGATTGCCTGAGCCCGCGGGCTCGAGACCCGCCTGGGCAACTTGGCGAGACCTCATCTCTACAATCAATCAAAAAATCAGCCGGGCGTGGTAGCGCGCGCCTGTAGCTCCAGCTACTTGACAGGCTGAGGCGGAAGGATCGCTGGAGCCCAGCAGGTTAGGTTCCAGTGGTGGCCGGAAGCGTGCACAGGGCGACGGAGTGAGACTCCAACTCAAAAAAAAAAAAAAAAAAAAAAAAAATCACCCTTTACTGATAATATTGTAACCCCCAGGTGCGAACCACTCTTGGCCTCACCGAAAGAAGTTTTATCAGTGTCTTCTAACCTTAAAAGATGATTCAGTATTCTTCAGACTCAGTGTAAATGCTTTTGCCATGCAAAGCATACCAGCCTTAATACAAGCCAAATTTATACGAGCCTTGTATTTATTGGCTATGTGGTGGTATATGACTGTGTTTTAGACGCTACTGTCCAGGCTGGAGTACCGTGGCACAATCATAGCTCACTGCAGCCTGGAACTCTTGGGCTCAAGTCATCTGCCGCCTCAGCCTCCCATAGCACTGGGATTACAGGTATGAATCACCGCACCCAGCCCCTAAGTAACTATTATGTTAGCAGCTTTCAGACCTCACTGGTCATCAGGGCCATTGGAGTATCTTTAAAATAATTTTTTAAAAGATTTTTATGTGGCAACTCAGATTTTTGTGGAGCAAAGGGGTGAAGGGACGAAAAATCACTTATGGGATATAATATGCACATGTAGGAGTGGTAGGTACACTTAAAGCCCAGACTTCTCCACTCTGCAATGCAGTCATGTAGCCAGAAACTATTTGTACCCTCCAAAGCTATTAAAATTAAAAGAAAGAATCAGTAGAAATTGTTTGGTAGCTGTAGCAGTATCAGAACTCATTTTACTGATGAGATACAAAAAAAAAAAGGAAAATAAATGTTTAAAAGATAAAGATTTATGCCTCTTCCCAGGCCGGCTAAAGTAGAATCTCTAGTCCTAGATCAGGTTTCAGGTCAGCTAATCTAAAACATTTCTGAAGTTTCTTGGACTTTGAAGAGTTTCTATTCTCTTTGGGTGTTTAATCTTTTTATATCTGTCTTTTACTGAAGCTAGAAATACATGTATTTGCTTTGGTTATCTGAAGTTTTATGACTTTTGTGTGTGTGTGTGTGTTGGAGTCTCATTCTGTCACCCAGGCTGGAGGGCAGTAGCACGCTTATGGCCACCACAGCCTTGACCTGCTGGGCTCAGGCAATCCTTTCGCCTCAGCCTTCCAAGTAGCTGGAACTACAGGCACACGCCACCATGCCCTGCTAATTTTTTGATTTATTGTAGAGGTGCATCTAGGCCTTGCCAAGTTGCCCAGGCTGGTCTTGAATCTGTGGACTCAAGCAATCGTCTCACCTCAGCCTCCCAAAGTGCTGCGATTATGGGCATGAGCCACCATGCCCAGCCTATATTATGTTTTTTATTTATAGAATTTATCCCTGTAACGTTGGAGTGACCATTTATTTACAATCATGTTTTAGTTCTTTGCTTACCTCCTGAAACTGTGTGTAATAAAATCTTGCATTCCAGAAAGTAATAGTTTTTCTATGCCTTAAATATTTTAAATGACCTTGATAAGTTTTCAAAAATCTCTATTGTTGGGCCAGGCTCAGTGGCTCAGCCTGTAATCCCAGCACTTTGGGAGGCTGAGGCAAGTGGATTGCCTGAGCCCACGGGTTTGAGACCAGCCCAGGCAACTTAGCGAGAACTTGTCTCTATAATAAATAAAAAATTAGCCGAGCATGGCAATGTGCACCTGTAGTTCCAGCTACTTGGAAGACTGAGGCAGAAGGATCACTGGAGTCCAGCATGTTGACCCTGGGATGGCCGTGAGTGTGCCACTGCGCTTCAGCCTGGGTGATGGAGTGAGACTCCAACTCAAAAAAAAAAAGAATAAAAATTATGATTGTTACCTTCCTGGATTTTGCATCTATTTGATCCATAATGGTGAGATAACTGTAAAGTTGATTGTACCTCTGGTGCATAGCGCTTTAGAACTTTTATAATTATATGGTAGTCAAAAAGAACTCATTTCTACATTACAGGGAATCGCATTACTTTGAAATAAAGATACCAAATTGATCTTTTTGGTTGAATGAAGCCATTTAGATGAAATAGTTTATTCCTTAGTCATTTTTAGAGGATATGTATTTCTTTGTTCAAACTTCTTTTCATGAGAGGGAAATCAAATAAATATCCTGGAGAACCTTGAAGGGGAAAGGAAAAATTAACACATGTTTAAAAGGAAGGTGTAAAACAGAGAGCCTTCAAAGGAAGGGTTAAGTGTGTGAGCCTCATTCATTTTTAGCCTTAGTTCTCTTCATACCACCTCCTTAGAATGTTAACTGGAATTTGTTTAACAGATGTGAAGATAGAAGTATAGAAAGATAATGGCTTATCCTACATTACCCAATCATTGAGGGACAGAACTGGAACTGAGATCTAGTCTACTGTTCCCATTCCAGTGGATGCTTTCTGGAATCAGGTCTGGGGAATGTGGAGCCCCTGGCAAACATAGCCCTCATTTGGGGTAGTAATATGAATTTGCTGATGTGGTATTTGACTCTACATCTCTAATGAGTTTTGTTCAGATTGCTGGGGTTTTGTAATTTTGATAAATATTGATATTTCATTTTCCTCAAGCCTATAAATTATAAAGCAAAGTTAGAACAATTTTAGCAATTCATTCAAATTATTAACGGCCAGCATATGTGTAGAGATTGCAGCATTTGCATTTGAAACCACAGATTTGCAAATTACTTCCTTTTTCATTTATTCACTCCAGTGCTTCCAGCTGTTCTGCTCAGAAGTCCAAAAGGGTAGAGGAAAAGATGACTAATATTGAGCAACGTTTTCAGTATTTTGACTTCTCAGCCACTTTCTATTTGTCTTCCTCACGTTTGGGTTTGGTTTGCTGTTGCCCAGTGAATACTCTCAAGTTAAAGATTACCAATGGTACTTGTGAGAGCAGGATTTCTCAACCTTGGTATTGTTGACATTTTTGGCCTGGATAATTCATTGTTGTGGGGAGCTATCTTGTGTATTGTAGAATATTTAGCAGCATTCTCTACCTACTAGATGCCAGTAGCATCCCCCAGATCATAACAACGGAAAATGTCTCCCGATGTTGCCAGAAGTCTCAGGATGGTGGAGGACTGATTCAGTTGTCCTAGGTTGAGAACCAACGATTTTTTAGTATTGTTATCTCGTAAATTTCTGATGAGAGATCATTTAAGACCATCATTTATTGACCATTATGTAATGATAATCATCTCTCATTCTCATTTATGCATTGGGCAGGACCCCTTCTGACTTGGGAAGCACACTTGATTCTGGAAGAGAGAGGATTTACAAAATCTCTGTTTTCAGCCATTCTTTCTCATAAACACAGATGATACTCATGATTTTTTTTTTTTTTTTTTTGAGTAGGAGTCTCACTCTGTTGTTCAGGCAGCCTTGACTCCTGGGCTCAGATGATCCTTCCACCTTAGCCTCCAAGTAGCTGGAACCACAGGCATGTACCACCATGCTGGCTAATTTTTTTTGTTTTAGTTGGCGTCTCACTCTGTCGCCCAGACTGGAGGGCAGTGGCCACTCCCGGCCACCGCAGCCTCGACCTGCTGGGCTCCGGCGATCCTTCCGCCTCAGCCTTCCAAGTTGCCGGGATTACAGGCACACGCTACCACACCCAGCTAATTTTTGATTTATTGTAGAGATGAGATCTCGCTGCCCAGGTGGGTCTCGAACCTGCGGGCTCAGGCAATCCACTCACCTTAGCCTCCCAAAGGCACGGGATTACAGGCTGAGCCACCGAGCCCGGCTTAATTTTTTTATTTACTGTAGAGACAAGGTCTCACCAAGTTGCCCAGGCTGTTCTGGAACCCCTGGACTCAGGCGAGCCTCATAATTCTTAGATTCTATATTTGCAAATTCACACACTTGATAAAATTTATTTGTTACTCCAAAATCAATTCTCATGTTGCTTTTGCAGTCATTTGTTGGCATAGAGTGGTGAAAAATTTAAGCAGCCTGACACATTTCTAGTTGAGGTTGAATAAGGCAAAGCTCTGCCTTCTTTCACCTCTTATACTGAAAATAAGCGTCCTTTTTGTGGTCAGTTTGCAGTGTTTTTTGCATTTCTGTGCTTCTTGTTGGTGAGTTCACTATTTAAAATAACCCCCAAGCACACAGTGCTAAAGTGCTAGCTAGTGTTTCCAAGAGAAAGAAAAGGCTATGGTACGCCTTGTACGCCTTACCGAGAAAAGACACATCCTTGTTAACCACTTTTGGGAGGTGATTAGGTCATGAGAGCCTTCATAAATAGGGTTAGTTTCTGTATAAAAGAGACCCCAGGCTGGGCTCAATGGCTCAGGTTGTAGTCTCAGCACTTTGGGAGACTGAGGCGAGTGGATTACCTGAGCCCGCAGGTTCGAGACAAGCCTGGGCAACTTGGCGAGACCACGTCTCTACAATAAAATAAAAAATAGCTGGGCATGGTAGTGCACTTCTGTAGTTCTGGCTACTCGAAAGGCTGAGGTGGAAGGATCGCCGGAGCCCAGCAGGTCGACGCTGGGGTGGCCGTGAGCATGCCACTACACTCCAGTCTGGGTGAAGGAATGACACTCCAACTCAAACAAAAGAGGGACTCCAGAGAGCTAGCTCACCCCTTCCACCATGTGAGGGCATAGCAAGAAGGTGCCATCTGTGAACCAGAAAGTGGGCCCTCACCAGAAACCAAATCTGGCATCCTGATCCTAGCTTCCAGAACTATGAGAGGTTTCTGCCATTATAAGCTACTCTGTTTTTGGTATTGTTCGGTTAAACTCTCAGTAGAGCCTCCAAAATGTTAGGTCAGACCTGTGAGGTCCAGGGAGGTGTCTGCAGTCTGGTGCCTCATGAAAGATCCAAAGAATTGCACAGAAGTTAGATTGAAAAATATGGTTTATTTAGAAAGTAAATTAGCAAGAGAGGAGATTTACCTCCCCAAGGTAGAGGAGGGGGCCAGAGCTAGGAACATGGCGGCCACAACCCAAAAGAGCCACATGACTGGGCCAGGGCTTAGCAAAGCAATGACAAATGGCTGCTTGAGATTGAATGCGTTTAAACCTTCCCTTTGATGGGAGGCAGGTGATTCAGGTGAGTGGGTGGTGGCTTTTTTCCTTTCTTTTTTTTTTTTGAGTCTCATTCTGTCACCCAGGCTGGAGTGCAGTGGCACGCTCACGGCTACCACAGTGTCTACCTGCCGGGCTCCAGTGATCCTTCTGCCTCAGCCTACCAACTAACTGGAACTACAGGTGCATGCTACCACGCTTGGCTAATTTTTTTGATTTACTGTAGAGATGAGGTCTTGTCAAGTCTTCTGGTCTTAAGCCTGTGGGCTCAGGCAATCCCCTTACCTTGGTCTCCCAAAGTGCTGGGATTACAGGCTTGAGCTACTGCACCTGACCGAGGGTACAATTCAGGGTTAGGTATACAAATGTTCATTATATAGTTACTCTTGTTGATGAGGTGTGTCCCCCCTACCCTGCAGTTTCCCAGTACTGCCAATCTCGCCCCCCATCCCCTGGCAGTTTCCAACTACTACCAATTTCTTAGTATTATGATAATTGTTCAAGGTCCGCCTATAAGTGAGAACATATGGCACTCAGTTCTTTGCTTCTGTGATAGATCACTCAATATCATAGATTCTAAGTCCATCCAATTTGCTGCACAGTTCATAATTTTTCACATCATCACAAAGGGGACAGGTGAGCACAGGTACTGACATCAAGTGATGGATTGAAGGCAGATGGATAGGTTAGTCACATGATTGCTGCCATGTTGATAAGATCTGTGTCCTGAAGGGCTGGTTAACTTGTTTACAAAGCAAGCTGAGGAGGGGGCTGTAAAACAATTATCTATAGCTACCTCTGAGAAACCGTCTTCTGTCCTTGGCTAGTGGTTAGAGGGTAAATTAAAGTGAACTGCTAGAAAAACATGACAAAGCTAAGCAGTGCTGAAATGGCTGCTTTTTGGCTATATTGAATCCATTTTGGTCGTGTCATTTCCCTCTCTTGTTTTAAAATATTTGTATTTGTACCTGGAAACAGTGATGATGGTCAGTCTTCTGAAACTGCCTCCATCTAGATAAGGGCATGGAGATGTTCATACCTGTCTAGATTAAGAGGAAGGGATGAGAGGACAGGAGCCAATGGAGTTGTTAATATCTTTAGTATATGTATACAAAACACTGTGTACAAGTGTATACTATTAGAAGTAATGCTACTATAATAAAGGCCGTTATAGCTGCTATTATGACATTGAAGCTTTGATGTCTGGGCAAAATGTATTTATAAATAGTTACCCCAGTGGGCTTGATACTCACTATAGGAGTCCAGGCAGTTTTTACTGCTAAACCAGCGAATTCCATATGTGGATGTTCCTGTAGTTTGTCTTCAAGTTTCTTTGGGTTTTGTGATAAGAATTTATAGACAGTTATAAGGGGTTTGTTAATAATAACTTTAACGAGGAAATAAAGTTACTTTGAGAAAGTCTGAAGGAAAAAAATTGAAAATGTTAATTTGGAGACATGTATTTAGGTTGTAATTTACATTGTAGGAAATAATAATGAACAAGAGAATTTAAAACAGGTGGTATGGGGGAGAGAAAACTCTCTGTTGTGTTTTTTTTGTTTGTTTGTTTGTTTTGAGTCAGAGTCTCACTCTGTCACCCAGGCTATAGTGCAATGGCACAATCATAGCCACCACAGCCTTCACCTGCTGGACTCAGGCGATCCTTCCACCTCAGCTTTCCAAGTAGCTGGAACTACAGGCGTGCACCACCACACCCAGCTAATTTTTTGACTTATTGTAGAGACAAGGTCTCGCCATGTTGCCCAGGCTGGTCTTGAACCTGTGGGCTCAGGCAATCCTCCACCTCAGCCTCCAAAAGTGCTGGGATTACAGGCATGAGCCACTACACCCAGCTCTTTTGTTTTTCACAAGAGGTATTTTGTTGTAACAGCCCTAATAGACTAACAGCACCCTTGCTCATTCATATATATATATATATATATATATATATATATATATATATATAGTCTTTCGGTGCTTTCACATCAAAGACTATCCCTTTAAAGGAGCAGGTACTTCTCCATTCCATTTCACAGACATTCTCCACTGAATTTCTTTGATACTCATATATTACTTAATTTTTTTTTTAAATAGGATCTGTGTCACCCAGGCTGGAATGCAGTGGCACAATCATAGTTCACTGTAGCCTGGAACTCCTGGGCTCAAGTGATCCTCCTACCTCAACCTCCTGAGTAGCTGGGACTAGACACACACCACCATACCTGGTTAATTAAAAAAAAATTTTTTTGTGAGGCTGGATGTGGTGGCTCATGCCTATAATCCCAGCACTTTGGGAGGCCAAGGTGAGAGAATTGCCCAAGCCCACAGGTTCGAGACCAGTCTGGGCAAAATGGCGAGACCTCATCTCTACAGTAAATAAAAAAATTAGCCGGACATGGTGGCGTATGCCTGTAGTTCCACCTACTTGGAAGGCTGAGGCGGAAGGATTACCTGAGCCCAGTAGGTTGAGGCTGCAGTGGACGTGAGCATGCCACTGCACTCCAGCCTGGGTGACAGAGTGAGACTCTGACTCAAAAAAAAAATTTTTTTTTTTGTGGAGTTGGGGTCTTGCTATGTTGACCAGACTGGTCTCAAACTCCTGACCCCAAGCAAACCTCCCACCTCAGCCTCCCAGAGTACTAGAATTATAAGCATGAGTTACTGTGTCTAGCCCTTATTTAGAGTGTTTACATCTATGTGGCATCACATGTTAAAAGTCCGTACTCTGAGGTTATGCACTCTTCTGTGTACCCTCATGTGTATCCCTTGATCGTAGCATGTACCTCATTATATTATAGTTGTCTGTAATATATGCTTTGTAAGAACTGGGACACACAAAGTGCAGGGCGTAGCACTGTCTCTCTCATAGCAGGAATTAATTAAAAGTTTACAGGAACTTGGTTGGGCTTGGTCGCTCACACCTGTAATCCCAGCACTTTGGGAAGTGGAGGCAAGAGGATTGCCTGAGCCCAGGGGTTCAAGACCAGCCTGGGCAACTTGGCAAAACCTACAAGAAATAAAAAAAAAATTAGCCAGGCATGGTGGTGCACGCATGTAGTTCCAACTACTTTGAAGACTGAGGCAGAAGGATCGCCTGAGCCTAGCGGGTCGAGGTTGCAGTGACTGTGAGTATGCCACTGCACTCCAGCCTGGGCAACAGTGAGACTCTGACTCAAAAAAAAAAAAGTTTATAGGAACTAAACCTCTATGTGTATCCCCAACTTTATCTAAGCAGAATGTCTTGTATTCTGGTAAATATGATTGCTAAAGAACTCAAGTTTACCAGCCGGGCTCGGTGGCTCAGCCTGTAATCCTGCGCCTTTGGGAGGCTGAGGTGAGTGGATTGCCTGAGCCCGCGGGTTTGAGACCTGCCTGGGCAACTTGGCGAGACCTCATCTCCAAAATAAATAAAAAAAACTAGGCGGGCGTGGTAGCGCGCGCCTGTAGTTCCAGCCACTTGGAAGGCTGAGGCGGAAGGATCGCCGGAGCCCAGCAGGTCGAGGCTGCGGTGGTCGGGAGCGGCCACTGCACTCCAGTCTGGGCAACCGAGTGAGACTCCAACTCAAAAAAAAAAAAAAAAGAGCTCAAGTTTACATCGTTATAAATCATTAAAATTGTTGCCAAGCAGACTCCTTTTAATGATCATGTATTCTTTATATTTCAATACTAATGATAATGCAATGCATGTACTAACTTTGATTTCCTAAATTTCATTATGATTTCCTCACTAGATCTTAACATTTTTTCTGTGGCAGGATGCAGACTCATCTGAACGTATCATTGCTCCCATGCGATGGGGTCTCGTCCCATCTTGGTTCAAAGAAGATGATCCTTCCAAGCTGCAGTTCAGTACTATCAACTGTCGTAGTGATACCATAATGGAGAAACAGTCATTCAAGGTAGATAGCTGGTTAGGAAAAGGCATATACTCTGTTCTTTTTGCTGACAGAGCTATCAGTGCCTTATATACTTGAAAAGTAAAATAAGGTTCCAAAGAGTGTTTCCATTGTGGCCTATAGAGGACAGTCAAAAATAAATATATAAATAAAATAAAAAAGTGTTCCCAGTTGTTAATGTGGAGTGTTATTCTGTTTGTTACTATGTAGTGGTATTAACAAACAGAATAGTGGTTTAAAACAAAACAACAGATATTATCTCTCATATTCTCTGGATTGACTAGGCTTAATTGAGCAAATTTCACTTGGAAGTTCTCATGTAGTTATAATCAGATAGCAGCTGGGCCTGGATTTCCAAATAGCTTCTTCACCCACATGTGACACCTCAACTGGGATGACTAGTACAACTAGAAGCCTTTTCACATGCCTGGATTGGGGGTGTCAGGGTAGTCAGGCTTCTGTCATAGTGATTCATTTACAATAGAGCTCGTGATCTAATAAAGTAGGATACAGGCTACAAGTAGACTTTATGATCTATCCTTGGCAGTCATACAGCATCCCTACTGCTGAATTCTACACAGAGCTAGCCAAAACTCAGTGTAGGAGGGGACTAGAGTGCGCATACTGGGAACCATGGTTCACCTGGGAGCCAACTATTTGTTAGAAAATTGCTGGTTGCTTTTGTGTACATTATTTAATCTTTTCAACATCTGTGTGAATTGTGATTTTATATAAGAAAAGAGATTTACAAGAAATTAAGTAACTATTCTAAGGTCACACATTGGTAGACCTGAGATTTTGGCTCAAGTTCCATGTAATGGCAGCCTGTACAACATGATTGTATGAAGACCACATACATGATTGTATTAAAACATGATGTACTAAGACCATATTTTGCTCACATTTTCCTTCAGGTGCCTCTGGGAAAGGGGAGACGCTGTGTTGTTTTAGCAGATGGATTCTATGAGTGGCAACGCTGTCAGGGAACAAGCCTCAGGCAGCCGTACTTCATCTATTTCCCCCAAATCAAGACAGAGAAGGTATCATTATCAACACTCACAATATATATTTGGAAAGGTACAAGAAAACAAATTAATCCAAAAAAGGGCATATACTTTTTTCCCCATATACTTTAAAAAAAATAACAGCTTCATTGAGGTATAATTCACCATAAAATTCATTTTTTAAAGTATGTAATTCAGGTTAGGTGCGGTGACTCATGCCTATAATCCCAGCACTTTGGGAGGCCAAGGTGAGATCACTTGAGGCCAGGAGTTTAAGACTAGCCTGGGTAACACAGCTAACTCAGTTTCTTTTTTTTTTTTTGAGTTGGAGTCTCACTCCATTGCCTAGACTGGAGTGCAGTGGCACACTCACGGCCACCCCAGTGTCGACCTGCTGGACTCCAACGATCCTTCCACCTCAGCCTTCCAAGTAGCCAGAACTACAGGTGTACGCTACCACGCCCGGCTAATTTTTTTGATTTATTGTAGAGTTGAGGTCTCACCAAGTTGCCCGGGCTGGTCTCGAACCCACAGGCTCAGTCCACTTGCCTAGGCCTCCCAAAGTGCTGGGATTACAGGCTGAGCCACTGAGCCTGACCCAACAATTATTGAAGTCCTTGCTTTGATGCCATGAAATTTGAGATGTTTTATAGTATGAAACCAGTGTAAAGAGTTGACCATATTAGGTATTGAGAAAAATAGCTGGAATTAAAATGTTTAAGTTCTTCCTAATTCAGTGCATTAACACTGGAGAACTGCATGGAGTCTTTTTTTCCTGAGTGGCTGATAGGTGAATCCTTAATGTCACTCATATGTTCCTTATATTTTGGGGGTATGAAAAATTATTGGTTTGTCTGGAAGCAGTCAGATGGCTTCTGTAATGCTCCATTAGGAGATTTAGACTTCAAATCATTTTCCTCCCCTTAAGGGCTTTCCTGTACTCATGATCAGTTCCATCATAAGTGAAGAATACTAGATAAATTGGGAGGCTATGATGGAGATTAAGTCCTCTGAGTGGAAGAAATGACAGTTCAAAGAATTGTCCCGTGGTATCTCTTATTCCCCTTTAATTCCAGGATGCTACTCTTGCTTCTATTGAGATTAGTTTTTTTGTAATTAAAATTTTTTTATTGAGTAAAAATTCACATAATATAAAATTTGCAGCTGGGCACAGTGGTTCACGCCTGTAATCCCAGTGTTTAGGGAGCCCAAGGCAGGAGGGCTTGAGCCCAGGTGTTCAAGACCAGCCTCGTCTCTACAAAAAATAGAAAAATTAACCAGATGTGGGGATACATGCCTGTAGTTCCAGCATGACAGGAGTCTGAGGCAGGAGGATTGTTTGAACCCAGGAGTTGGAGGTTGCAGTGAGCTGTAATAGTGCCGTTGCAATCCAGCCTAGGCAACAGAGTGAAATCTGTCTCAAAAAAAGTCACCAGTATATTCACAATGTTGTACAACCATGACCACTATCTGGAATGTCATTCCAGAACATTTTCATCACTCTGTCACCATAAAGCAGTCCCTCTCTACTTTCCCCTTCCCCTAGCCCCTTGCAGCCACTAACCCACTTTCTGTGCCCAGACTCATACGATATTTGTCCTTTTGTGTATCTGGCCTCTTGGCATAATGTTTTTAAACGTATCAAATGTTTAACATACGTTTAGCATATACCAGTAGTACTTCTTATCTTTTTATTGACAAATCATATTCCATTGTTTAGGTATACAGTATTTTGTTTGTCTATTTATCAGTTGATGGACATTGAGTTTTTTCCACTTTTTTGGCTGTTATGAATAATGCTGTTATGAATACTGGTATACCGGTGCCTATTTGAGTCCCTGTTTTCAGTGCTTTTTTTTTCAAGTAGGCATTTCACTGTGCTGCCCAGGTTGGATGGAGTGCAATGGCAAGCTCAAAGCCACCGCAGACTTAGCCTGCTGGGCCAAGGCGCTCCTTCCGCCTCAGCCTTCCAAGTAGCTGGAACTGTTGGCTCATGCCACCATGCCTGACTAATTTTTTTATTTATTGTAGAGACGAGGCCTTGCCATGTTGCCCAGGCTGGTCTCAAACACCTAAGCTCAGGCAGTCCTCTTGTACTGGGATTATAGGTGTGAGCCACCACACCCTGTCTCAGTGCTTTTGAGTTTCATTCCTTCCCATAGTGTATGGGGGTTCTAGTTTCACCACATCGCTACCAATGCTTATTTTCTGTTTTTAAAAATTGTTATTAGCCGGGCTCGGTGGCTCATCCTGTAGTCCCACGCTTTGGGAGGCTGAGATAAGTGGATTGCCTGAGCCTGCAGGTTCGAGACCCGCCTGGGCAACTTGGCGAGATCTCATCTCTACAATAAATCAAAAAGTTAGCTGGGCGTGGTAGTGCACGCCTGTAGTTCCAGCTACTTGGAAGGCTGAGGCGGAAGGATGGCTGGAGCCCAGCAGGTCGAGGCTGCGGTGGCCGGGAGCGGCCACTGCACTCCAGTCTGGGTGACAGTGAGACTCCAACTCAAAAAAAAAAAATTATTATTATAGCCATCCTAGTGGGTGTGAAGTGATATCTCATTGTGGTTTTGATTAGCAGTTGCCTGACATTTAGTGACATTGAGCATTTTTTCATGTGCTTATTGGCCAATTGTATATTTTCTTTGTAGAAATGTCTATTCAAGTCCTTTGTCCAGTTATAAGTTGAATTGTCTGTCTTTTGTTATTGTTTTGTGTTGAGTCAGGGTCTTACTTGTCACCCAGGCTGGAATGCAATGGCACTATCACAGTTCACCACAGCTTCAACCTACTGGGCTTAGGCCATCCTTCTACCTTAGCCTCCTGAGTTGCTGGGACTATAGGAATGCACCACTTCACCCGGCTAATTTATTTTTTGCTTTTTCTTGTAGAGACAAGGTCTCATATAGTGCATAGGCTGGTATTGAACTCCTGGGCTCAAGCAGTCCTCTCGCCTTGGCCACCCAAAGTGCTGGGATTACAGGCATGAAACACTGTGCCTGGCTTCTTTTGTTGTTGAATTGTAAGACTTCTTTATATGGCCTGGATACTAGATCCTAACCAGATACATGATTTGCAAATATTTTCTCCCATCTATGGATTATTTTTACTTTTCCTGACAGTGTACTTTAAAGCACAAGAGTTTTGTGAACCAGAGGACTTTATGCTTGTTGAACTTGAGAAGTCTAGTTTATCTACTTTTTTCCTTTATTGTTTGTGTCTTTAGTGTCATGCCTAAGAGTCTATCACCAAATCCAAGGTCATAAAGATTTACCCATTTTCTTGTAAAGGTTTTATAGTTTTTACTTTACAGAAAGATCTTTAATTTGTTTTTAGTTAGTTTTTATATATGGTATAAGGTATGGATCCGAGTCATTCTTCTGCATGTGACTATCCAGTTGTCCCAGGACTACTTGTTAAAAAGACATTGGCTCCCTTGTCAAAATTAGTTTACTGTAGAGCTGTGGGTTCATTTCTGGACTCTCAATTCGAGCCATTGACCTAAATGTCTATTCTTATGCAATATTACACTGTAGCTTTGTAGTAAGTTTTGAAGTGAGTAAGTGTGAGTCCTCCAACTTTGTTCTTTTTAAAGATTGTTTTGGCTGTTTAGGTTTCCTTGCAGTTCCATGTGAATGTTAGGATCAGCTTGCCTATTTCTGCAAACCAAAAAAAAAGGTAGTTAAATTTTGATAAAGAAAGTGTATTGAATCTGTAGGTCAGTTTGGGGAGTATTGCCATCTTAACAATATTATGTCCTCAAATCCCTGAATATGGGGCATCTTTCCGTTGTTAAGATCTTTAATTTCTTTTAACCGTGTTTTGTAGTTTTCAGTGTACAAATCATACATGTCCTTGGTTAAATACAGTCCTAAGTCTAGTGTCAAATAAACAGCACAACACAAGGACCTTAGAAAACTTTATTCTCAAGGTTAATATATACAAATCAACAGTATTTCTATATACTAGCAACAAACAGTTGAAAATAAAAGCATGTTTGTAAGCTGTTGAAAATAATCCAGGAGAGTGGAGAAAGCATAAGTCAGTGGAGAGATGTCCTCCATTATGTAGTTGAGAGGGGATTTGAATCTAGTGCCCAAGTGGAAAAGTTGACCTACCAAAAAGCGTGGACTGGCTGGGTACGGTGGCTAGGCCTGTAATCCCATCACTTTGGGAGGCTGAGGCGAGAGGATTGCCTGAGTCTACAGGTTCCAGACCAGCCTGGGCAACTTGGTGAGACCTTGTCTCTACAATAAATCACAAAAACTAACTGGGCGTGATGGTGTGCATCTGTAGTTCCAGCTACTTGGAAGGCTGAGGCAGAAGGATGCCTGAGTCCAGCAGGCCGTGAGTATGCCACTGCACTCCATCCTGGGTGACAAGAGTGAAACTCCAACTCAAAAAAAAAAAAAAGCATGAACTGCTAGAAAGTGGAGGCAGGGCAGCATATGCAACACAGATAATGATTGATGGGTAAGCGGGGCATTTATGAGAAGAGGTAGAGGTTCCCTTCTGAATGCTTCTGCTTGTGAAATAGAAAGCAAAGTCAGTAACTGAGAGCAAGGATGGGGAAGAATTGTTGGTTTTTTGAGAAGAAGGATTGTTGGTTTTGTGAGGAGAGAAGAGTAAATGAATAAGAGAAATGTAAGAATGCCACATAATGAATGCATCTGGTTGCTTTCTTTGGTTTGGTTTGTTTTTTTTGAGGGGAAGTATAAAGTAGGGATTTAATTATTTCCCCCCCAGATATCCAGCCAGTTATCTCAAGTTCATTCATTGAATAGTTGCATACCTTTCTGTTAGTTATTCTCTCTCTTCTGTTAGGTCTACTTTTTGTTTTTCAACTCAGTCTCTTCCATCTACCCAGTCCCTCTAGATAAGCTTGAATTTTTTCTTTGCCAGCTTATCGTAAGTACATGCCTCAGTATGCCTACATCTATTTAGGTTTTTTTTTTTCACACCATCTTAACTATTTTTTAAGTGTACACTTGAGTAGTGTTAAGTATATTCACATTGTTATGCAACAGATTTGCTTTGATACATATTTTTTTATAGATGGGGGGTACAAGTCAGGATTAAGTATATAAGTGGACATCATAGAGGTAAAGTTTGGGCCTCCCTTTGGTGCCCACCTTGCCTGGTTTGAGGTCAGATATCCTTATTGATGTTGTATCCCCATCTCTACCTTGGCAGTACCCCGCTATTGCAAATCCCTTAGTATTATGGTAAATGTTCAGGATCCGCTTATGAGTGAACATATGGTACTCAGTTCTTTGTTTCTGTGATAGATCACTGAATATTATAGACTCTAAATCCATCCAAGTTGCTACGAAGTCCATATGTTTGTCCTTTTATTTAGAGTTTTCAAACACTGGTAAACCACCAGGCTATAAAAGGTAGGACCACTTCTGGTTTAGTTGATGTCCAGTCAATGTCTTACCTAAGTGTTACCCATCTTCCAAGAAAAGGGAGGAAAGCCCCTCTACAATCAGGGCTCTTTCAGCTGAAGAGATGAGACACTGTTTGACAGCAGCCCTTCCAAGACCATACATGGCAAGCAGATTAGTGTGGCTTCTCTGAGGGAATCCATAGGCTTCTTTCCACCCTTCGCGAGGAGCCACTGAATGCAAGGTTCTTGTCCCAGACCTTTTCCACACCACTGGCCCTTATTCTTGCCTCAGAGGACCCAGCAGGGGTCCTTGCTGAAGGCTGTGTATTCAGAGTCTCCACTGTGATTTTTCCATTTAATTTTAAACTTTTTTTATTTTTATAGAGGATAAGGTCTCACTGTGTTGCTCAGGCTGGTCTTGAACTCATGGGCTTAAGTAATCCTCCTGCCTCATTCTTCAAAAGTGCTAGCATTATAGGCATGAGTCACCCATACCAGGCCTGATTTTTCCATTTACAATTAAATGTATGTCAGAAATTCTGGAGCTTATTTCTTGAGGGAACCACTCCATAAGATTTCCATTCTTTTGCTTATCCATCATTAAGCTAAGAATTGTATAGCCAGAAAGAGAATTTTCCTCTGGCACTTTTTGAGAGACTTAGGCAGTTGTGTAAGCTGGGATGGCAGTTTGCTTAGTTCTATACAATTAGCGTATTACCTATAAAAATAAATCTGTTTATTCAGTAGACATTGATTGAATATCTATGTGTTGGTCTAATAGGTTTTTAGAAGTTTCCAGTGAGACATGGGAGCTCATATAGTAAACTCAGGTAGCATTACCACCAAGACATAGACCATTAAACTAACAATCACACAATGGTGGTAAAGATGCTCAGGTGGATATGAGGGAATAGAGGGCAGTGTGTAAGTTAGACTAGGCATCCTAGAAGGCTTGCAGAGGAAGTGATACTTGAATTTTTAGACTGCAGATCGTCGGAGCTTTTTTATCTAGTCTTACAATCACTCTTTTAATTTGGGTTTCGAACATTTACATTCAATATAATTATTGATATTATTGAGTTAACATTATTTTTACTTTTTTTTTGAGTTGAGGTCTCACCCTGTTGCCCAGGTTGGAGTGCAGTGGCATGCTCACAGCCACCACAGCCTCAGCCTGCTGGGCTCAGGCGATCCTTCTGCCTCAGCCTTCCAAGTAGCTGGAGCTACAGGCATTTGCTACCCATGCCCATCTAATTTTTCTTGATTTATTGTAGAGATGAGGTCTTGCCAAGTTGCCCAGGCTGGTCTCAAACCCGTGGGCTCAGATGATCCTTTTACCTCAATGTCCCAAAGTGCTGGAATTATAGGCATGAGCCACCATGCCTGGCCTATTGTTATTTTTGAACTGGGGTTTCTCTCTGTTACTCAGGCTAGAGCGTAGTGGCAGGATCACAGCTTACCACGTCTTGACCTCCAGGGCTCAGGCAATCCTCCTGACTCAGCCTCCCAAGTAGCTAAGCCTACAGACATGGACTACTACACCTGGCTACTTTTTTTGTTGTTACAGTTACCTTTGTTCACTATAGGCTTTCATGTTTTCTGGTGTCTCCCAGTGTCCAGAGAATTTTTCTCAGCAACCGTGCTCTCCTCAATTGTTAGACTTTCTAAGACTGTTCCTTAGATAGGGGTCTCTCCATGCTCTCTCTCCTCCTCTAGAAGAAGACTGTCTTTGCCTGTTACTTGATGTTTGCTCATCTGAAGTGGGGTGAGATCATTTTCTGTTCTCTTGGTTCGTCTGTCTTAGGCTGACCAGCTCTCTGGCTTAGGCTTTTATGGTGATCTGCTTCTTCCCCAGGAAGTAGGAAACTTTTTCCTTTACCTTTCCCAAGCTTCAGTGAGTCTTTATCTGTATTCTAGAGGTGATACGGATTATTATTCTTTCCCTGGCAGCTTAAGTCTTTTGCTCCTTAGGGGAGAAGTGATCATGTGAGGCTTCGTGCCTTTCTTGAAACAGAGGAGCTCCTACCTCTAGGCATGCAACAATAAAGAAGTCTTCTTTCAGGGTCCTGTCTGCCCCGATTCATTCACTGAGTACCAGTGAGATCCTTGGAGAAGAGCCCATGAGCTGGTGCAAACTCTCCTGAGGTCTATACTTCCCAGGAGTTCTGTACTCTCAAGCTAACCCATAGTCTGCTTATAGCAATTTGGTAGTAATTTAAGCTGAATTCTTACCTGCTTGTGTGAAGGCCGTGTTTTCTTCCTGTTGCTACTAATAAACCAGTACCTGGGTCCCATCTCCCTTTGGAGGTCCCTGTCTTTCCTTAAATTTCAAGCTTATTGGTTGCCCTGTGACCTCAGTTCTCTTATGAATTTAAATTATGATTTTGTGGCCAGGCACAGTGGCTCACACCTATAATCCCAGCACTTTGGGAGGCCAAAGTGAGAGGATTGCCTGAGCCCACAGGTTCGAGCTTAGCCTGAACAACTTGGTGAGACCTCGTCTCTACAGTAAATCAAAAAATTAGCCAGGCATGGTGGTGTGTGCCTGTGGTTCCAGCTACTTGGAAGGCTGAGGGAGAAGGATCACCTGAGCCCAGCAGGTTGAGGCTGCCATGACTGAGTGTGCCACTACACTCCAGCCTGGGCAACAGAGTGAGACTCTAACTCAAAAAAAAAAATAAATAAATAAATTTTGATTTTGTATATTATCCAGATTTTTTCTTATTGTTAGAGTAGAAATGATTTCTTTTTCCAGCTTTCTGTATTCTAGATCTCAAACTGATTTTTTTTTTTTAAAGACAGCATCAGCCTGCATGCCCAGGCAGGAAGTGCAGTGGCACAATCATGGCTCACTGCAGTCTCAATGTCTTGGGCTCAGGCAATCCTTCTGCCTTAGCCTCCTGAGTAGCTGGGACAACAGACACACGCCACCACACCTGGCTAATTTTTTTTTTTTAATGTTCGTAGAGATGAGGTCTTGCTATATTGTCTAGGCTGATCGTTGGGCTCAGGCAGTTCTTCCATCTCAGTCTCCCAAAGTGCTGGAATTATAGATGTGAATCACTGTGCCTGGCCTTGAATTGAATTTTCAGTGGCAAGTAGGAGTTGAAAGATGAAAATGGACCCGAAGAACATTATGGGCAGAGGAAAGTTGCTTTGGCAAACCTATGTCCCCTATGGGTACAAAATTGCATGAGAGCATCATTTGCAAACAACTGGTTTAGATTCAAATTAATGAGTGACAGCTAGAATGGTGACCAGTTCATGGAAGGCCTAAATGTCCAGTGAAATATTAAATTCTGAAAGAATGTTAGGATCCGTAAATCTACAGCTTTAGTGATCATTTGCCACCAACCCTCTTTTCTTTGGTGACAGTGGATCAAGAAGAATTAATATGGCATGGATTGAATTACTTTTAAAATAATTTCCATGCTCTTAGTCTGAAGTAGTACCCAAGCTGCATGTAGAAGAAGACTGCTGCCTGCTTCTAATATGCCCTTGTATTTTGCTTCCAGCCAGGCAGCATTGATGCTGCAGACAGTCCTGAGAACTGGGAGAAAGTCTGGGGCAACTGGAGGCTACTGACAATGGCTGGGATCTTTGACTGCTGGACGCCCCCACAGGGAGATGTCCTATATTCCTATACCATCATCACAGTGGATTCCTGCAAAAGCTTGAGTGACATCCACCAGAGGCAAGCCATACTTCTTATCCCTGGATACAAAAGGATTCAAGGGAGGGTTTGTGCTTTTAGTTAGGTGACTTTAGAGAATAGGAAACTAAGTTGTTTTACAAATTATGTTTACAGTCAGTTCAGCTATAACATGAATGTGTTCCTAAAAATCACCACACTATGCAACATTGTAGAGTAAAAGCCACATAACTTATAAGAAAAGTGAAGTTTGGATACAATATTTAAAACTTTGTCAGTGACGCATTAAAAATAATAGGAACTGACAGGGCTCGGTGACACAGCCTGTAATCCTAGCACTTTGGGAGGCCTAGGCAAGTGGACTGCCTGAGTCCATGTGTTCGAGACCAGCCTGGGCAACTTGGTGAGACCTTGTCTCTACAATAACTATTAAAAAAAAAAAAAATTAGCCAGGCATGGTAGCACGTGCCTGTAGTTCTGATTACTTGGAAGGCTGAGGCAGAAGGATCGCCAGAGCCCAGCAGGTTGATGTGCGGTGGCCGTGAGCGTGCAACTGCACTCCAGCCTGGGCAGTGAAGTAAGACTTCAACTCAAAATAATAATAATTATTATTATAATTATAATAGGGACCTAATAAAAACAGCAGTGTCTTATTCATGTTAAGTGGTTAAGAAATATGTAAATACAGCCGGGCTCGGTGGCTCAGCCTATAATCCCGCGCCTTTGGGAGGCTGAGGTGAGTGGATTGCCTGAGCCTTTGGGTTTGAGACCTGCCTGGGCACTTGGTGAGACCTCATCTCTACAATAAATTAAAAAAAACTAGCTGGGCATGGTAGCGCACGCCTGTAGTTCTAGCTACTTGGAAGGCTGAGGCAGAAGGATCGCCGGAGCCCAGTCTGGGCGACAGAGTGAGACTCCAACTCAAAAAAAAAAAGAAATATGTAAATACTACAATAAATGTGGTACTTTCCTTGAAAAGATCTGAAGTTTGCTTGTGGAAGTGTGTGTTGGAAGAGTTGTAGTTTATAAGTTATTGTGATGTTGTGGAAAGAAGATTATGCAATTTTAAAAATCTTTTGCAGTCTTAAATCCTAAGGTATGTTTTTCTGCCTTTGAATGTAGTTCCTTTGAGGCATGTGTTTATAATAGATGCCTGCTTAATCAAAATTAAATGTTTGTATAGCCTCCTCCTTCAAGTAGCTTCTGTATCGCAGCTAGAAGTTATTATTTTTTTTTTGAGTTGGAGTCTCAGTCTGTCTCCCAGGCTGGAGTGCAGTGACACACTCACGGCCACCGCAGCCTCGACCTGCTGGGCTCAGGTGATCCTTCCACCTCAGCCTTCCAAGTAGCTGGAACTACAGGCATGCGCAGCCATACCTGGCTTATTTTTTTGATTTATTGTAGAGATGAAGTCTCATTAAGTTGCCCAGGCCGTTCTCGAACCAGTGGGGTCAGGCAATCCTCTTACCTTGGCCTCCCAAAGTGCTGGGATTATAGGCGTGAGCCACCATGCCTGGCCTTAAAGTATTTTTAACCAGGCATTGTGGCTTATGTCTGTAGTCCCAGCTACTCTGGAGGCTGAGGCCAATCACTTGAGCCCATGAATTCAAGTTCAACCTGGACAACATATAGTGAGACCCTGTCTCTAAAAAAGATTTTCTAAAAAATCTTTTTAAAGTACATGTTTGATTTGTTGAAGTTATAGTATTTAACTTTTAAAAAAATTTTAATTTTAATATTTTTTAGTATAAGTCTCATTCTGTCACCTAGGCTGGAGTGCAGTGACACACTCACGGCCTCTGCAGCCTTGTCCTGCTGGGCTCAGGTGATCCTTCCACCTCAGCCTTTAAATAACTGGAACTACAGATGTGCGCTAATTTTTTGATTTACTGTGGAGACGAAGTCTCACCAAGTTGCCCAGGCTGGTCTTGAACCCCTTGAACTCAGGCAGTCCTCTTTTCTCTGCCTCCCCAAGTACTAGAATTACAGGCATGAGCCACCATGCCTTGCCTTAAATTTTTTTTTTTTTAAGATAAAACAAGTCAAATTTATTAGAGTTGTCCACAGTCAGCAATGGTGATCTTCTTGCTGGTCTTGCCATTCTTGGACCCAAAGCCCTCCATGGCTTACACAATATTCGTACCCTCTTTCACCTTGCCAAAAACCACATGTTTGCCATCTAACCATTCAGTCTTAGTAGTGCAGATGAAAAATTGGGAACTGTTTGTGTTGGGTCCAGCATTTGCCATGGACAAGATGCCGGGTCCTGTATGCTCCAAGATGAAGTTCTCATCATCAAATTTCTCCCCATAGATGGACTTGCCGCCAGTGCCATTATGGCGTGTAAAGTCACCACCCTGGCACATAAACCCTGGAATAATTCTGTGAAAGCAGGAACCCTTATAACCAAATCCTTTCTCTCCAGTGCTCATAGCACGAAAGTTTTCTGCTGTCTTTGGAATTTTGTCTGCAAATAGCTCGAAGGAGACGTGGCCCAAGGGCTCGCCGTTGACGTAGAAGAACACGGTGGGGTTGACCATGGCTGATGGGAAAAGGCTCAAGGTGGTGGTGTCTGCAAAGCCTTTTTTTTTTTGGAATCAAGGTCTCACCCTGTCACCCAGGCAAGAGTGCAGTGATGTGATCACAACGATCACGGCTCATGGCAGCCTTGACCTCCTGGGCTCAGGCGATCCTTCCAAATCAGCTTCTTGAGTAGCTGGAACTATAGGTGCACACCACTGTACCTGGCAGTTTTTTTTTTTGTTTTGTTTTTGTAGAGATGAGGTTTTGCTATATTACCTAGGCTGGTCTCAAACTCCTGAGCTTAAGCAATTCTGCTGCCTTGGTCTCCCAAAGTGCTGGGATTACAGGTGTGAGTCACTGCACCTGGACTTAGTTAACTCTTAATATAGGTGTTTATGCATTTGTCTTCTAAAACCAGTGACATGTGTGCCTTGCTTTGCATTGGCTAAGTCCATAAAACTGGAAGCTAAATATAGGATCTTTTCCTAACATCTCCTGGGTACCAGGAGTCATCTTAGACAGCCTCTCTGTTTTTCCGAGGCATGGTTTCCTTCTGTTTATGATTTTCACAGGTGGTATGACTAGAGATTGTTGTTGGTAGACAGGTTTTCCAGGATCTATTTTCCCTTTAATTCTAGGCTGTGTCATCATAGAAAATTCATCAGTTTGCTAGAGTATACGTTGGAGTGCACTAGACCAGTCATAGTACTCTTCACTGTCTTTGCTGTGAAAATTTTTAACTTGACTCACCAAGTTAAAACTCTAGTTCCCTATCACCTTGTGCTGAGGGAGCAATTGGCAGCAGGCAACATGTGAGGAGCAGAGGGAGGGCAAGCTTTCCTTGTGATAATTTGAGCTATCAGCTGACTCTCATCTTCTTCCCTTCTCTCCCTACCCTCCTCCTACCTCTCTCAATAAATGTCTTGACCTACCTGGCTAGGATGCCTGCCATATTAGATGGAGAGGAGGCAGTCTCTAAATGGCTTGACTTTGGTGAGGTCTCAACTCAGGAAGCTCTGAAGTTAATCCATCCCACAGAGAACATTACCTTCCATCCAGTCTCTTCTGTGGTGAACAACTCGCGAAACAACACTCCTGAGTGCCTGGCTCCTGTCAACTTGGAGGTCAAAAAGGTAGGGGCCTGTGACTATTAATAGTCTTTTCTGGGATTGGTGGTAGCAGGTCACTGCTGGGGGTGGGAGGGTGCACCTAACACCTGTACCTATAAGGTACAGTAAGGGTACCTGATCCCAAACCAGGTGAAGTGAGGACCAATGGGAGGCCCAAACTTCACCTGTACAATGACCACTTATGTACCTAAACCTTAATTGTACCCCACATCTTTAAATTTAAAAAAATAAAAAAATTTGCCAGGCTCGGTGGCTCAGACTGTAATCCCACACCTTTGGGAGGCTGAGGTAAGTGGATTGCCTGAGCCCACGGGTTCGAGACCCGCCTGGGCAATTTGGTGAGACCCCATCTCTACAATAAATCAAAAAATTAGCTGGGTGTGGTAGCGCGTGCCTGTAGTCCCAGCTACTTGGAAGGCTAAGGCGGAAGGATCGCCAGAGCCCAGCAGGTCGAGGCTGCGGTGGCCGCTTCCGGTCTGCCCTCCAGTCTGGGCGACAGAGTGAGACTCCAACTCAAAAAAAAAACCAAACAAACAAAAAATAAAAAAATTTTAAAAACAGTCCTTTCTGTACTTTCTGTCTTATGTCAGCATAGCCTTCTCTTTTAAGACATGGTCTTTTACATTCAGAACTTCAATTTGAACTACCAAAAGCTCTCATATTCCTTGTGCATGGCAAGATAGAATAGAGAAATGATTCTCAAACCTGGCTGTAATACAGCGATAGAGTCCTCAGGAGAGTGCCTTTTTTTTTTTTTTTTTTGAGTTTAAGTCTCTCACTCTATCACCCAGGCTGGAGTACAGTGGCACACTTAAAGCCACCCCAGCATCGACCTGCTGGACTCCAGTGATCCTTCTGCCTCAGCCTTCCAAGTAGCCGGAACTACAGGCACGCGCTACCATGCCCGGCTAAGTCTTGTTTTATTGTAGAGACGAGGTCTCGCCAAGTTGCCCAGGCTGGTCTCGAACCCGTGGGCTCAGGCAATCCACTCACCTCCATGTCCCAAAGTGCTGGGATTACAGGCTTAGCCACCAAGCCCAGCCTGATTTTTCTTTTTTTTAGGATTTTGGAATATTTGCATTATATACTCACCAGTTGAGCATCCCAACTCTGATATCCAAAATGCATCAATGAGCTGTTCCTTTGAGCATAATATTGATACTCAAAAGTTTTAAGATTTTGGTGCATTTCAGATTTGGACTTGGGATGCTCATTTTACACCAGACATTGCCCCATTTCCTCTATGGTCTTTACTCCAAAAAAAGTAACATTCTGGAGAGGCAGCATTATGCTAATACATAAACTTTCAGTTCAGGGTTGGTGTGTGGGTATATGGGAAAACAAAGGGAGTAGGGACAGTTGAGAAAAGGTTGTGTTGTAAGGCTGCACCAAGGGGAAACAGTTTAGCCTGGGAATCCCTGATCACAACAGGTGCTGGAAATTTACCCATATCCCTCCAGCCTCATTTTCCAATACTCCCCCTGGTTACACTGAATTGCATTCTTCTCCCTGAGAACACTTAATTCTCTACATGTTTGGAATGTCCTTCAGTCCTCTTCTATGATAGGTCCCAAACATTTCTCTGTGAGACCTTCCCTAAGAACTACACCTCTGCCCCTTGAAGCATACTCCCCTCTTCCCACTCCTGATGAATGGAACCCATCTGGCTCTTAGTAACATTTTCAAAGCCTAGATCAGTACCTAATGCCTCTTCCCCTGTTTCTTCCCTTAGAGCTGGCCTTTTCCAAAGAGCTTGAGCTGAGTGGTGTGAGCTTTTACCTCTTTCTCTTAGGAGCTCAAGGCAAGTGGCAGCTGCCAGAAGATGTTGCAGTGGCTGGCTACAAAGTCACCCAAAAAGGAAGACCTGAAAACGTCCCAAAAAGAAGAGTCAACTGTGCCCCAGTGGTCCAGCCAGTTCCTGCAGAAGAGCCCACGCCCCACTAAGAGAAGTGGTGCAGGACTCCTGGAGCAATGGTTGAAGCGGGAGAAGGAGGAGGAACCTGCAGCCAAGCGGCTTCACAGCCAGTGACCCAGGACTTTGAGACCAAGGCCAGGATCTGCTACACTAACTACTATTGCTGATAACGGGTTCTTCCATTATATGTGTATGTGTTTGTTTTGGGGGCACAGTGCTTGTTGCTAGTTGGCTCATGGGGGACGTGGCCTTCCTGACCATGATTAGGAGCCCCTAGTGGGGCTGGTGGGCAACCTTGGAAGAGGCAGACCAGTTGCTTTTGCCAGCCATGTGAGTCCCATAGAGCCGTAGTGCCTGCTATCTTTTGCTGGTGGGGTTCCCTCGAAGCCTGCCTGACCCTTCTAGGAGCTCTCAGCCCTGACATAGTGCTCCTAGCAGCAGGGGGCTGCTTTATCCTCAGCCTTTGGGGTTTTTTCATCCTTTAGAATAAGTTCTTAAAATGTACTTTTTTCCTGAATAAATTATATTTGATAAACTGTCTACATTTTAGAAAATGACACTGGTGGGGAGAGTTCTGGATTTTAACTGGTTTTCTGCTGGCGCCAGCACTAAAAAATGGATTTTGTGGCACTGGGACTTTCTGAGGAAAAATCTACAGAAAGGCTTGCTGGATTCTCCTTGTTAAGGCTTTTTACTCTTAATACTTGGAAGTTGTCTGAATCCTTTAGTTGAGTGAGTTGAGTACTTGCCATACTGAACTCGAGGGACTGGGGGGTGTGGAACAATGTGCAGAGGCCCAGACCCTGTCCTCACCACAGGGATCGTGGGCTCCAGGTCCTTCACAAGATTCTCAGGCTCTGAGTAGAGCAGAGCACAGAGGATGACATGGGCTTGGGAGTTGGGGCTTCATTCCCAGGATGTGGAACTAAGGCTGCTGCCCCAACCTGCGTCAGAGCCCCTGTGATTGTTCTGCTGGTTCTCCTTCCTTTCTCTCTTGATACTGAACCGGTCTATACTTTGATATTTACGTTGAGGTGTGTATCTGTTGTCTGTCCTACTCAGATAATTACCCAGGGACCACTTTTCACCATTATTTTCTCCCAGTATTAATAATAGGTATGCAAATAATTGTCCAGTGAATTTGAGCCCTTACCATGTGCCCAGCCCTGTGCATCAGCAGGGAACTGACAAATATTAATTAGCCAGGTACCAACCCATGCAGTTAACTGCTTGCACGTCTGTACTCTGAAGGCCTGAGAAAACCGAGAGGGCTTCATCGGCCCATTGGTAGATGGGAGTTCTCCAGTAAGAGCTCTCCATGGTTACCGAGAAGACAGGGTAGCACCAGACCAGGAACTCCTTGCACAGGTCAGGCAGCTGATTGAGCCACTGGAGGGGGTGCAGGCCCCAGACCCTATGCAAATCAGGGATCAGAATTTCCACTAATCAGAAGGAAGCCCCAACCTTATAACTGCTAATGAAAGCGAATGGCTTGCTGTGCTGCACACCTTAAGGTTAAGGCAGGGAGCTAGGTAAGCCAGCAGATCCCTGGCTTCGACCACTTTCTGAGGGCCGTTCTCTTTGCCTTTTCTCTGAATTTCTCTTTTGAGCACCCTCCTTTCTGGTTGAGGGGTGGGGTTGGCCAGTGGTGGTTACGTACACCAGCACCCTGCACTTGGCCTCTCTTTGTGGGCTGATTTGCATAGGATTTGGTTGTTTTATTAAGATTTTTTTTTTTGCAACCATAGCATAATAACTTAAGAGACTTAAAAAATAAAAGATTTAAAAAATAAATTCAAGCTGGGCTTAGTGGCTCAGCCTGTAATCCCGCGCCTTTGGAAGACTGAGGTGAGTGGATTGCCTAAGTCCACGGGTTTGAGACCCACCTGGGCAACTTGGCGAGACCTCATCTCTACAATAAATCAAAAATTTAGCTGGGTGTGGTAGCATGCACCTGTAGTTCTGGCTACTTGGAAGGCTGAGGCGGAAGGATCGCCAGAGCCCAGCAGGTTGAGGCTGCGGTGGCCGGGAGTGGCCACTGCACTCCAATCTGGGCAACAGAGTGAAACTCCAACTCAAAAATAAATAAATAAATAAATTCAGATAACTTACTAGAATGTTCACTGGTGTGACTGTTTTGTCATATTTCCTTCCAAGTTTAATAAGCAATAAAAATGACATTTTCTTTATTTTTCATTACTGTCTCTCTACTGTTTCTCATTGGTTGCAGATTAGTTTGGTGGGATCTTTTCATTTTAACGTGAAAGAATACAATGCCTGCAGGGGCATATGTCCTTTTCATTCAAGTGTTTATACTTTCATATAAATGTGATGTTAAAAGCACATCCTAGCCGGACTCGGTGGCTCAGCCTGTAATCCCACTCCTTTGGGAAGCTGAGGTGAGTGGATTGCCTAGTTCGAGACCCACCTGGGCAACTTGGCGAGACCTCATCTCCACAATAAATAAAAAATCAGCCAGGCATGGTAGTGCATACCTGTAATTCCAGCTACTCGGATGGCTTTGGTGGAAGGATTGCCGGAGCCCGGTGGGTCGAGGCTGCAGTGGCCAGGAGCGGCCACTGCACTCCAGTCTGGACAACAGAGTGAGACTCCAACTGAAAAAAAAAAAAAGTACATCCTTAGCCGGGCATGGTAGCATGTGCATCTGTAGTTCCTGCTACTTGGAAGGCTGAGGTGGACGGATCGCCGGAGCCCAGCAGGTTGACACTAGGGTGTCCAGGGGCATGCCACTGCCCTCCAGCCTGGGCAACAGAGTGAGATGTCAACTCAAAAAAAGGAAAAAAAAAAGCACGTCCTCATATCTGAGCACATACAGTACCCACTGCTGTCTATAGTCCCTCTGAATCCATCATCTCATGAAAGTTTTGAATGCCTAAAGCCCAACCCTGCTTTGTAGAGAGGTGGAAACAGACCCAGGCAAGGTAGAAGTTTGGCCCAGGACACGTAGCTTGGCATAGGTAAACTGACTACAAATCTAAGGGACTCCTGGCTTGGAGAATCTGGATAAGATCCTGCTTGTTGCCAGGAAGAGCCTGGAGGGAACGTGTTGTGGGGGCAGCCAGAGACCATAAGAGAGGCCTCAGACTCTTAGATTCCTACCTCTCTCTTTTCAACCAGAGTGAGGAACAAGTGATGAGAACAGTAGAACCCCATTCCCTTGAGAGAAGAGCTTTGGCTCAAGCTCCTGGGAAGCTTCTGTATGGGAGGATCCTCAGTACATGCAAAAAAAGATTTTTTTTGAAAGCAGGATTTATTGAGAGGACAGAAAAGTTCCCACAGTGGGAGGGGACCTGAAGGGGTTGCCCACAGGATTTTTGCTAAGTCCTTTGTCCTCCTTGAGACTTGGTTGGACCATCTCTGAGTCAGGGGGTAGGTGCTCACAATTAAACTCCCAGGAGCCCAGAGCAACAGATGGTGACTGTTAGGGGAGACACAGGGCCTACTTGTGGACTAGTGCTCCTCACGTGGAGATGAATGAGGATCCCCTTGCACCCCAGGACTCCAGAGAGGAGAGGCATGCTGCGGTCTCCACAGCATGGGCAGCAGGAGCTGGAGGACTGTTTGCAGAACTTGGGGTGTTAGTGAAAGGGGGAGGGCGATCAAACTGAAGGGAGCAAAGTTTTAAGAGGCAGCCAGGCTGGGGCTGGTCCCCAACCCCACATCCCCTTCCCCTGTCCGAGGCAGCCAAAAGAAGGAGAAGGACTGGGAGAGGCAAGAATAGGCGAGTAAATAAAGGGACCTCTGGGGGGCGTATCCGTAGGGTGCGCTGGGCAGGGCTGACTGGTCCTAATGGCAAGCCTGTATGGAGCGGTTGTTACCAGGTGTAGACACTCGTCACTGGTAGTCTGAGTCTCTGGCTTTCATCAGCTTACACTTCCTGTTGGGAGCCGGCCACGGAGGCCTGCTGAGGGTTAGGGATCAGGGCCGTGGATCCCGAGACCACTAGGATGCGTTCGGGAGCTATTGACCCCATTCCCTCCTCCCTTTTTCTTTTCAGCACACTTAGCCAAAAGGAACTCTGCTGACCTAAGCCGAGGCTCTGTGACTGTGCCAGGCATGGCTCACTCTAGAAGCTCATTGTTCCTGTTTCCCATGAACTGCGGTTTCGGCTTGGGTATTAGATATAATTCAAACTCAGGTCACATCTGGGAGCCTTCAATATGGTACAAGCTTCTTTATAAGATTTAAAAGTATATGTGTAGAATTAGTATATACAAATGGAGAGCTGTTTTCAGCTTTAGATGGTATAGATGATTTTCTAGAGTTACCAGAAATGGCCCAGCATGAACTTTGGGCTGGGCCACATTCCTAAGGGCC